ACCGCTCCTTTGCCTTCTTCTGTGAGCTTGTGGTTGCCCAGGTCCTTGACTGCACCAGGAGTCACCCCGCCCAGGAGGTTGAAAACTTTCTTCTCCGTCTCCTGGGATACCTGGCTAATCTTCCATACCACTGTTGGGTCGTGGGGTGCTACCACCACCACCCTGGATCCTCCCATGCCTAGCACGTTGAGGTCCACGCTGGTAACACCAGCTTCAACGGCGTTGATGTAGGTAACTTTCATTTCAGGGTGGTAGCGGGAGTGACACGGATTCACATCCTTCCGCATCGGAACCACAAACGCCATAGGTTTCTCATAGTCTGGCGCGGGAGATCTTGCAGGGCCAGCCTCAGGTCCTTCCCGAAGGACCACAGGCTCAAAGCAGCTGCTGTTCTCCTCTGGCGTGTCCACAGGCCCGAAGGGGCTGCTCTCTCCCTCCCGGTTCTCTGGTTTGACCTCCAGATCTTCACCAGGGATTTCTTCAGGAGGGGCCTTTACATCGGCCTGGCCACTTTCCTGCTCTTCTGGTTTGGGCTCACACTTTTCCACTTCCATTGCCTGGTTCTCACCAGGGTCATCTTCTCCATCGCGGACTGCCCCAGGAGTTTCACTGGAGCTTTCTGAGGAAGGGCTCTTAACTGGCTTGCTGGCTGGGGCTGGTTCACCAGCCTTTACCTGTTCTATTTTCTTCTTGAGCTCTTCCTTGTTGAGTGAAGCTGGATTCCCAACACCAGCAGAAGAGGAAGGTTCGGCAAGCGACTTGGGAAACTCTGAGCTGTAGTAGGAGTACTCCTGTTGGTCAAGCTTAGCCTTAGCCACCACAGGCGATTGCCCTTCATGGGGCCGCTTCTTTGGCAAAGGAGGCGTGGGTGGAGTTGGGCGGGAGGCCTCCTCTGGGCGAGGTGTCTCCATTGGGGCCTCTCTGGCTTGGCCCTTGCCAGTAGTCGCGTCACTTTTGGAAGCCCCTTTTCCTTTGCCTTTGTCTTTTCCTTGTCCTTTTTGCAGGGACAGCTCACGCCGCACCTCATCTGGCATGGGTATATTTCTGCTGGTTTCACCAGCTTGGCGTTCTTTCTTTCCCGATCTGTTCCGGTTATACCAGTTCTTGTACCACGAGAGTGGCGTGCGCGCTGGCGTGTTTGCTCTCCTGGGTCTGTCACCAGGGTTCTCATTGGATCCTCTCGCCTGGCTGGATCTAGCTACTTCTGGCTGCCATCCCTGGTATCCACCAGGGTTTCGCCAGGCCCATTCAGCATTGCGCCCCTGGTATCCACCAGGGTTGTTCCAGGCTCCATCCGCATTGCGCCCCTGGTTTTCACCAGGCTCATTGGAGCCCATGTTGAGTTTCAGGGACGCACCTAGCTTGAGCCAAAAGCTGCACTCAGAATTTGAGCTTTGTTTGTCCTTTGCTCTCAGTCTTCCGGCTAGGAGTGGAAAGAGAAGAGGGCGGGGCCTCACAAGCCCTACTACTACTGCCTCTAGAATTCCCCACCAGTCCTTCATCATCATTGGCATCAGCACCAACAGCATGACTGAGACTGGACTTTGTAACCCTGCCGGAGCCTAGGGGTCTACTAACAGTGGGCCGGCCTAGGAGGTCCCCAGGTGTTCTGGTAGTTTGGTTGGAGGCCTCACCACCACCAGAAAGAGGCTTGCTCACACTGTTCAGCTTGGTCTGGGTGCCTTGAACAAGGGGGGGCTTAGTATCAGACGACTGGCCAGGGTCTGGGTTAACCCCAGAAAGCACATGGGACTCAGGACCAGAACTGGGAGCCAAAGCGCGGGTGTTTCGAGGACCGAAAAACCCCGAGGTGACAGGCGCCATTTTCTTGAGAATGTCATGAGTCCACTGGTCCTTACCAGTGTAAACCAACCTGCAAGGCTTCGCCAGTTGTGGTTGGATTTAACTTGATTAATCCACTGTTTGAGACCACACTGTCGGCACATCCAAGCCTCACCAGCATGGATGATTTTGTGCGTGGCGTGCTCCCCCAATTTGGGTGCTGAGGGTTCTCGGAACCTGCACGGGTGAGACGTCTTTTTGGCAAACACTTGCTTTGCTCGCCTGTTTCTTTCTGGGTGGGCGGACGAGTCGCAGCCTTAGGCAGGGTGAAACGTATTCCTAACAACTAAACCGAACAACTGTACACTAAGTCGGGTAAGCAGCACTATACAAGCCGACTCGCGTTCTCGCTCTTACTAACGAGTCCAACCAACAGGCTGTCCACTTGCAGGGACTAACCTTCTCTACGGCACTCACCCTGTACAGTTTTAGGGTGCCTGCAGTTCTTTGTCTGCTCACTACCCTGGTAGCACCAGACTGTGCGGTAGGCCTGGTCACTTCAGAGGGCTAGTGAGTCTGGTAACACCAGAAGTCCCTGGCTGCTGGGTCAAAGGAGACCCAGCCGTCAGCCCCTTCAGCGCCCGTCACATCCGACAGTGCAGTTGCGATGGAGGATTATATGGCACGCCCTTGCACATACTTCAGTGCTGCCTCATTAGCTCGAATGTGCTTTGGTCGTCAACTGCGTGTTTCGAAATTCAGATTGCCCGTTCGAACACCAAGGTCAGTTCGCCGGCCACGTTCTCATCGATATGCTGGCAAGCTTAGTTTGAGACAGTGCCTCTTCCAACAACTCCGCCTCTTTTTGGAGCTGTGGCCTATGTGAGGCTTGAATCCCGCTCGGCACTCTCTTTACCGTGTCCCCCAGGTCGGTAAGTACCTCGTGTCCCGTGGCCTCGGCGCGATCACTGTCGCACACCTAGCTTGTCTGCACTTGTGGTGTGGGCTACGATCGCTTATCTTGCCTTGGCCCTATTCTCTACATGGTCACATCGCACCCACGATACATACTACATCAGTCGCTGAGCCCGGTCCCAAATCCGGGCATGGAGGAGATAAAGATTCTGTCTCGAAAGTCACCGATATATGCCGACACTTTGTCCATCCTGGGACTCTCAGGGATGAATTTTGTGACTTCTCCACTGAGCCGAGGGTTGAGTGCTGGAACCCACCGCACTCTGAACCTCCACTGTTGCCATTCAAGCTGATCTCGTGTCACAATGATTGTTCAGATAACAGTGGAGGGAAGCTCGGGATTACTCAATCAGGCGCTGCTTCACGAAGCCGCCACTCCTACTGCACTACCTCTACTCTCCCCCAGTGTCCAAGGCAGCATGTAACCGCACAGGCCCTAGTCGTGGCCACGACCTCTGCCTTAAGGACCTCATTTTGCTCCAGCGAGGAGCCTCCCCGAACACCTGCTTGCACTAACTGTGCCTCGGCAGGCCTACCACACCGAACTAATTCCAGCAATGCGCTGCCACTCTCTATTCGGATCCTTGGTCGGATGACTTTGGCATGCCAGGGAAAAAGGGCTTACAATCGGGCGGTTCAGCGAGCGACGACCAGCCCACTGCAGGGCACGTTCTTTGGGGGCCGATGGTGCTCCTTGCATACTCTTCGTTCGCAGGCTATACACCGTAGTCCTACTCCTTTGCCAGTGTGCCCGCCCACCCAGTCCGAGGCTTCTTCCTTTGTTGATCCTTGTAGACTCCGGTGTGTGACGTATAACATTGGGGGCCTCAGTCAGGATGCGTATGCAGAGCTGATGCACTTTCTTGCGGTACAAGACCCTGCTGTTCGTCCCCATTTGATCTTTTTGCAAGAAACGCACTGGAAATCGATTTCCGATTACTCTACTGACCAGTGGCATATTGTATCCACACCGGCGGAACCTGCAGCGTCTGGTGGTGTTGCCATTTTAATCTCAGTTGATCTTTGCTCTTCTGATTCCATCCTCACGGCTTCACCCATCCAAGGCCGGCTACTGCACGCCCGTGTCCAGCTAGGCTCTGCATGCCAACTTGAACTGGTAAACCTTTATCAGAAGATTCTGACAACAAGCTCGACCAGAGGCAAGGACCCGCAGACCAACGATTCGCGTCAACTTCGACGCGAGGTTTGGCGTTCCTGGCGCCAGCTCCTTGGAAGTCTTCCGCGGCGGAGCCTATGGATCGTAGCTGGGGATTTTAACACCAACTTACAACCAAACGCCCGGCTTGTTGGTGCCAGAGCTGCTCCCTTCATGAAGAGGCCACAGTCGGACTCTAAAGAAATGATGGATGTTGTACAAGACCTCAGGCTGCTACATCTAAATTCGTGGACAAGGCGAGCGAGGGCCACGTATCGGTCGACACAGGGCAATACCCTAATTGATCATGTGTTTTTTGCGACAAGACCAGAGTGACGTCGAAGCTCGACAGGCCGGTCCTGTTGACTGGCCCCTCACGCGCTGGCGAGGTGGCGGCAGGCATTGGCCAGTTCTCTTCAGCGTTCCGGTGCCCACAAGACCCTACACTTCAAGGCGACCTCAGCCCCAGTCCTCCCTCGACAAGGCGGAGCTCCTCAGGGTATGTCGCTCAGCTGATGACCCCAGGGTACAAGCTTTTCGACAGGATGTACACTTGCTACTAATCCCTGTCGCACCATCTCTGAAGTCAATCAGCATCTACATGAAACGTCCATCCGTTTCTTCCCCTCTACAAAGCTGTCCGCCAAGACAGGTACCTGGCAACACCCCACCGTCTCTTTATCTGTCCGACAAATGTGGGCAGCCTACAAGGATTGGAAACAACCCCCACCAGGCGGGCAACGGCTCTTTTCTGCCTGGAGAGCCTATAGTCGGTTCAAACGAGCACACCGCGAATGCAGGCGGGCTACACGGGCTGCGAAAACGGCGCAGATGCAGGCACTCACTCAGAGTATGCAGGAGGCCACACCAGCACGACCCGTTCGTTGCTATATATACCGACGGTTGGGCGGTATAGAGACGACAGTCCGTATGATGACGTTTCGTCTTCGTCAGACAATGACGAATTTGAACCCAAATGAATGTGTGATCTCTCTTTCTCTCTCATTCTTTCTTTCATCTAATATAAATGTTGTGCGGGTTGGGTTGTTTGGCTACAACAAACTGCGATTGACGATCTCGGCCTTTTTCACGGCCCCCGGAATCGGAGCGAAAACTGTAATGCCCATTTAAAAAGGACATGCCGTGAGACAAAATTGGGGTGAGAGGCGATCGCAAGCTGTTTCACACGACGAACGGCGTCTTCGCCCAAGTAATTAGCCGAAAACCGTGGGTTCTGTCGCAGAACCATTACAAAATCGAGAACGGCATGTTCGAGCATGTGCTGTTTCGGCCTGCATTTCCATCGTGGCACCTGAAGCATGACAGCACGGCTTGCAAGCCGGTCGAACGAGCTTCTGTACAAGTAATATGCCGCTTCGAAGTTCTGGCACACATCTTCTCGGAAGAATCGGCCGTTCTCCATCTGAAGCTGCTCCATGTACATTAGCCCAGTCACCACACCAAGAATGAGCCTCGGAAGGTTTTAAGTCTCTATTTTTGAACTGCTGCCGGCTTCTATAACCTTATAGGCGACTTTGCACATGCTCGTGCTCGGATTCTTAACATTGAAAACAAACACATGCCACCCAAATGATTCGTCCTGGACGGGGCACTTGAGATGCTCAGGCTGCTCGTCGCCTTGCAGTAGGCTGTTCATGAACCAGTGCATCCAGAAGACCATGAACTTTGCAGCTGCTGCCCTCATAAATTTCTGGGATACGGTGACATAGTCATGTCGCAGGGTCTCGTTGGTAAACAACTTTCGTTCGCACCTGTCAGCAATATTCCAGTATTGGCAGTATTCTTTGTAGCTTTGCCATGCAATCTCCAACCGAGCATCTCTAGACGATCCCGGCCATGGCCATTGTGTGTCGCTCAAGTCCAGCAGCATGCTGGTCAAAGCATCGCCCAGACATGCCAAGTGCACTATGTGCATGTAATCCGGGAGGATGCCTCATAGTTTGGATGTTTACTGCTGTGTATATATGTATTGGCATCAATAATGCTATTTGGGGTTTAGGCTGGGTAAAAGAAAGCTTTCGGACAGCTTTACCCAATATTGAAAGGCTAGCATCGCCAAGGGCAGTAGCCACCAGCTAGTCCAGCGAAGGGACTCCAGCCATGCACAGCGATGAACTCATCATTGCCAGAGCAAAGCCTCGACAGTACCAGACTTGAAGTGTTAAGTGCAATACACTATAACACCATAGGTTATAGCTTCGACGGAATGCCGAGCATCCTTTGCCGATGGAGAGCTCTTCGGCCGAAATTGGTGAACAGAAGCTCTGGATTGTTCGGCTCCGGGTCGCCAGGTTGCGGATATTTGAGGATCCACTGCAGGGCCTGTATACGGGTATGATTCGTTCAAAGAGCTGACAACAAGCAACTGCTGGCTCTCATTTGCGAGTCGTGCCTCACAGTAGTGGCAGACCATCTTGCGTGTATAATTTCCTCGTGATCATTTGCGAATTGACAGCTAGCACAGCCGAAACCCTCAGATAGCAGCCAATTATGTTGCAGGGAAGAATCTCTGCAGCCGAAAACACTTGCTGATGAACTCTTGGTCCATCTGAAAAGCATCCAGAACCACCGTGTACTTTCCGCAGATTCGACGACCAGCTTGTTCACGACGAGAGCCCTTCAAGCATTCGCCATTCATATCCACCGACGGATAGACACCCTGACCTAGGATCGCTGTAACCCTGGCTAAGAAAACCATATTGGCAAATCAATATTTTTAATTCCAATCCACCAAGGAAGAAACCCCCAAACTTAATTGCTTCTTCATAAGGACCGGGGACCGAGAACTTCGAGCGACCAGGCGATGGCTTTCATTATCAGCTCCCTGGCTTCACTGGTGCCTTGCCCGGACATACAGCTAAGCCTCAGATTGATCTTTCGACAGCAGAACTACGGCATGTCATCAGACTTAGTCAAAGAAGCATCGTAAAATGCATCGAGGGAGCAAGAATCGAGTATCCATACAGGATGTTTCTTCTCCCAGCACCGATTGCAAAAGGAAGATCTCGAAGTTTTGAGTACCTGCAGCAATAATGTCTCAAGTACCTCATACATGATACTCTACTGTGTAGCTATAATGCAACCAGCTTCGGTAGCTTTCAGCTCCATCGCCATATAGTCGCACAGGCACAATGAAATCACGAGCTTCAGCGAGAGCCTGGGCGTGGACAAAATGCAGCCCGGAAGCAACACAGGAACAAACCTGAATCGGGCAATAAGCTAAGTAGCCGGGTGATTGAACCACCAGTGTGAAGCAAATTCTCTCGATTTCTGGCAGTATTCTCGAATCTCCTGCACCGAGGATAAGAGCCAAAGACTTTCTACACATAAACAACATTTCGCGATTTTGGCGTAAGGAGGCTTCAGCGTGCAAGCAAGTTGCTTCTGGCTTTCCAAAGAGCTTGTGAAAGAAGTCCCGGTCGAAATTGTAGATGCAGCCCATCACTTCGTGAGGGAGGAACATGCTGTGTTCGTACCAGCCCCGATCTTCGTTGCCGGCTGCATCCAGGTTCACCTCGCTTCGATCATCTCTAAAGTCTATAGTGTGTGACTTCAGAAGCCAGTGACAAACAGTTCCCCAAGAGGCGGGCATAGGGAACCCAGATCTTGTGCGGCTCCGGAAGAATCTTTCCTCGATCAAGCCAGAATGAACTTTAAGGGTTTGGGATTGCTATAGTTTCGATCTATATTGTCTAGGGTTTCTGAGAATTCCAAACAAGTCTCGCCATGGTTGCTTCAGAGACCAAGCCTCTAGGATGTTGACATGTCCCCAGTGGTTTTTCTTCGCATCCAATCTCCTCGCCAGATCCAGCATATCAGGCCTTAGTGTTTATATGGGGTTTAGGGCTTTGGGGTTTGGGCTTTAGGGAAGTTTGGCCCAAGATGCGGCACCAGCATTTCTGGTAGTTGAAGCAGGCGACCTTATTGCGGGGTTTGTCGAGGCAGGCAAAATATCTTTTGAAGCAACCCGGCGACACTTGTGGGTCAGGGGCTGGTCGTTGTGAGGAGGTTCTTTGTCGCGACCTGCATATTGGAACATGGCATTATGCACAAGTTGGTGCATACACTGCAGACACTAAAACTATTGCATCTAGGGCACATCTCCGGTAGATACGAATTGCAGAATATCTTCCACGGTCTTCCGAATATAGTCTATCATCCATTGCCCCGAGGATCCAGAACATCCAGATGATGCTGCAGAGTCCATTGGACCACAAAAAACATCTGAAATCCAGTGTCTGGGCAGGTAGATGTTGTTCAGGGTTTGCGATTTAGAGTTTAGGGTTTTAGGGGTTAAGGCACGGTTTGAAGTTTAGGGGTTTAGGGTTTAGGGAGGGTTTGTAAGGTTTTTCGATGAGGAGTTTGGGCTTTGCTGTGTTTCGGTTTTGCATATGTGTAGGGCAGTGTAGGGTGTGGGATTTAGGGTAATTGGGTTCGAAAACTTGAACTCAAGGTTGGGGTCTCACAATTGCAACAGAATAATGAAGCTTCCGGGATGCATAAAGATTGCTTCCTTAAAGTATAGCAAATAAGCTTGGATACTAAGATTGAGATAGGTTTGGCGCTTCGGGTTAAGGTTCGGGTTGCGACCATATAAGGATGCTTCCTCCCGAGTTAATGCAGACTGAGGGCTGAGGTCTGTGCTCACACATCATTCATCAAGCAAGGGATCTCATGCACATGTGGCGAGGCGAGGTTTGGATGGATGCAGATCAAAACTCTCGACATGCTAGGACCATCATTTTTCGCCCCGGGTCGCTCGCTCACACATATCTGAAAGCTACCGGCGATCCTTAACGACTGCATCTATAGCAGGCTGCAGGAAGCCCCTCTGAAAGGATAGATTGCCCGGGATTTACATGCTTGCTTTGAGCCCAGGTCTAGGTCGATAGGTCGATATAATGATCCGGGCAGACCCACTGCTGCAGTACGATGGATCGCAACCCCAGCCGAGGCCCTTCAGGCCCTTGCCCTTTTTTCAGGGGGCTGAACAGTCTCTTCAGCATCATCATCTTCCCAATCATCTTCACCATTATCTTCATTATTCTCATTCTCATCTGGCCACTCTTCTTGTTGCTCTGCATCGTCTACCTGAGTATCCAGATCTGCCGTAGCCTGCTTCTTCAGCTCTTCTTTTTCCCGTTTTCTCTTCTCCGAAGCTTTGCCTGATCAAGCAGATTTGGCGAATAGTGGCTTGGGAACCAGAGTGTAGCATGTGCAAATACAATACTATCGTTAAGCTGGGGCACGTCGCTCAAAGGTCTGGAACACACCCTCGGCATGTGCCACATCCTTCGCATATTCCTGGCCGGAAGCAGCAAGCCCTGGATCCCAATCCTATGTAGGACTACATTTCAAAAGCAAGGCCTGTAGCTGATGGGCTTTGCTGTCCAGGTACTCTCTGGCTTTGGAAAGTGGCTCGGATGAGAAGAGGAGTGTGTTGCACCTGAGAAAGCAAGCTAAGCATCGAGACCCAGAACCTCAAGCCCCAAAAGTGCACGAAAGAGAAGTTCGGATGCAGCAAACATGTCGTGGCAAGAAGCTCCCTCAGAATGCCGTAGCACTGGGTATTCACATCACCCATATGCTGGACGTCAGCCTCAGGATTTGTCTGCAAACAAACGAAAGGATGTGCCCACCGAAACCCTAAACCCTGAACCTTAAAATCCTGATCCCTAAACCCCGTGAGCAGCCTAGACTGCATGGACGACAAATTATAAGACACTGCTGGCCGGGCCTCCTGTCGCTTCAGCCCGGTAGACTTCAGGTTCGTGGCAGCAGTCAAGGCTTTGTCGCCCAATTGTCGCAGCCTCATGGCAAGCACAGAAGACGATTCGGAGTTGGGTTCAACGGGATCTAGCGTAGCAACCGCACTGCGAGCGAGAATCTGTTGCAAGTCTCGCTGGAAGTCCTTCTTCTCCTTTTCTTCAAGCGTGAGTTCCTGCAGCTTTTGATTAAATACATGGGAAGACAAAGCATGGGGTAGAGACAAGAGAGAGAGAGAGAGAGAGAGAGAGAGAGAGAGAGAGAGAGAGAGAGAGAGAGAGAGAGAGAGAGAGAGAGAGAGAGAGAGAGAGAGAGAGAGAGAGAGAGAGAGAGAAAGAGAGAGAGAAAGAGAGAGAAAGAGAGAGAAAGAGAGAGATAGAGAGAGTGAGTGAGTGAGTGAGTGAGAAGAGAGCAAGAAGTCCTTCTTCCCCTTTCCATTTCCTCCTTTTCCTTTATTACCACCTCCCTTACCACCAGACTTCCCGGCTTCTCCGACACTGTTCCAACTGCCGGCGAACGAGTCAGCCTTGTTCTGCATGGTCTCGGCAAAGGCAGCTCTGGCAGCCTTGTTGGCCGGCAACTTGGCTCTTCCGGATGTTTTCGTGCCAACCTCCTTCGTCTTTGCACCTTAAAGGCTTCAAGTATTGGGGCGTGGGTGGTTTCGGGGTTCAGGGGTTAGGTTCCGGGTTGTAGGGCGTAGGATTATACAGGGTGGTAGGGTGCAGTCAGATTGAAAGGTTTGAATTTTGCAGTGGCAACTTAGAGCCAAAGGGCTGGAATCCTTGATGTCACGGAACACGGTATAAATCCTCATCTCGGGATTCTTCGGATCCTCGAACAGGAAACGTGTGCATTGCACAACATTTTATATGCATGCCGGATGACACGATGCGAACCGTAGTCCTGTGGGTGAGCAGTGCCACGTTGTTCTTAGCACCCGAAAAGACTCACAACTAGAAGCAAGCCATGCAAGGCGTCAACACAGCGATCATCATGGTGCACATGCAGAGGCCCCGACTGGCGACCACTTGCTCTTCCAAGAACTTCTGCTGGGCTTCTGTTGTGTACATCTTACGAAGCTCGCTTAGCGGCAGTGAGATCCAATTCTCCTTGTTGGTTTGTGTGTCCTTCCTTAGCATACATGTGCACATGCATTCGCGAGTGACATACTGTTGATGGTATAAATCCTGCATTACCTGAATGACCCTAAACTATGGGAATTATAGTATATTCCTTATTATGGGTCATGCAGGATTTATATCATCAACCGTATGTTATCTACGTGGGAAGATTGAATGCAGCTGGTTGTCTCAACATAGAACGTTTCGACTTCGATGTCGGGCATGTCCTTGTGCTGCACAAATGCCTTCAAGAAGGCAAACCTCAGCAGTATGGACAAGTGGTTATCCTATCACTGTGTAAGATGCTATATAAAGCAACAGAGGCATCCACTTATCGCCCGGATCTTTGGTCGCCTTCCATTTCTCAAGCAGTCCTGGTTTGAGTCCTGCCAAAGCATGCAGGGCTTTAGTTTAAAATAAGGGATAACTTCAGGGAGTGTTCAGGGTTTGTGCGGCGTCGGTCCATCTGAACTTTCGAACCGCCGTCGCATTGCTTCGTTCAGTCGCTTCCTGGTAGGCAAGTCTAACTCACCAGGCTCCGTCATTGCCAAAATCGCTTCGATCTTCTCCAACGAGAGTTTCTGCACCTTGCTATATGAGTGCTTTAATTTAAGCATAATCCAAAAGGTCACTGTATAGCTTCACAACATGCACGAACTGCTGCAGCTTCGTAGCAGCTGGCGAAAGGTGCTGCGACGAGGGCGTCTTTGCACCATGCCTGCAGGCGGGACTCAGAGTGCTTATAAAGAGGGTTTAAGTTTCGGGTTTAGGGATTAGGGTTCGGGGTTTAGGGTTTAGGGAGTGCTACTGTAGGGTTTAGGAATCGGGGATCGTCTAGGCCCATAGGCCTTGGGCTTCTCATTGGTATGCTTGTTTCCGGGGTGCACGACAGCTTGGATCGGAATACGGCTTGTAGGTTTTGGATTCTGTCGGTTTGGCTTTAGGGGGTCCTATGAAACCCAGCGATTCACTTTCCATAACCCCATATCCTAAACCCAATCACAATTAGTTGTGTATGCTGGTGAGGCACTCTGGCGTAGTAGTCGGATCATCTGCCATCTTGGCATCATCGTCGGGTCTAGGGCGTTTCAAGATCGGCGAGGGAGTTGACAACTGGCCTTGGGTAGATGCATATACGGTTTAGGGTTTAGGGTTTAGGGTTTAGGGTTTAGGGTGTGCACACATCCCCTCCCTCAACACTGCTGTGTGCAGCTGCGGTGCTGCCGGTGGAGTTGCTTTGATCTTCCCAGCTAAGCTTTCTTTTGGCTGAGTCATCAGGCTCTACCCGGGTTTTGGTTGCACCCTGGTCACCCTGGCCCTTTCCCGAACCTGCTTTTGGCGTCTCTTGGGGTGGGGGAGATTCCTTCTCGGCATCAGAAGCAACCTTTGCGGCCCCTTTCGACGGGGACTTGGCCTTTCCTTTGCCCTTCGTGGCTGGGGTGGCTTCTCCTGTGGCTTCGTCTTTTCCTGAACCTTTGGCCTGCGACTTGCCCTTTCCTTTGCCCTTGGGTGTGGCTTCTCCTGTGGCTTCGCCTTTTCCTGAACCTTTGGCCTGCGACTTGCCCTCTCCTTTGCCCTTCGGGGTGGCTTCTCCTGTGGTCTCGTCTTTTCCTGAACCTTTCGTCGCCTCAGCCTTCCCTTTGCCCTTTGGCGTGGCTTCTCCTGTGGCTTCGTCTTTTCCTGCACCTTTGGCCTGCGACTTGCCCTTTCCTTTGCCCTTGGGTGTGGCTTCTCCTGTGGCTTCGCCTTTTCCTGAACCTTTCGTTGCCTCCGCCTTTCCTTTACCCTTTGGTGCGGCTTCTCCTGTGGTCTCGGTTGTTCCTGAAGCTTTCGTCTGCATCTTGCCCTTTCCTTTGCCCTTTGGCGTGGCTTCTCCTGTGGCTTCGTCTTTTCCTGAACCTTTCGTCTGCGACTTAGCCTTTCCTTTACCCTTGGGTGTGGCTTCTCCTGTGGCTTCGTCTTTTCTTGAACCTTTCGTCGCCTCTGCCTTTCCTTTACCCTTGGGTGCGGCTTCTCCTGTGGCTTCGGTGTTTCCTGAACCTTTCGTCTGCGACTTAGCCTTTCCTTTGCCCTTCGGGGTGGCTTCTCCTGTGGCTTCGTCTTTTCCTGAACCTTTCGTCTGCGACTTAGCCTTTCCTTTACCCTTGGGTGTGGCTTCTCCTGTGGCTTCGTCTTTTCTTGAACCTTTCGTCGCCTCTGCCTTTCCTTTACCCTTGGGTGCGGCTTCTCCTGTGGCTTCGTTGTTTCCTGAACCTTTCGTCTGCGACTTAGCCTTTCCTTTGCCCTTCGGGGTGGCTTCTCCTGTGGCTTCGTCTTTTCCTGCACCTTTCGTCTGCGACTTGCCCTTTCCTTTGCCCTTGGGTGTGGCTTCTCCTGTGGCTTCGTCTTTTCCTGCACCTTTGGCCTGCGACTTGCCCTTTCCTTTGCCCTTTGGCGTGGCTTCTCCTGTGGCTTTGCCTTTTCCTGAACCTTTCGTTGCCTCCGCCTTTCCTTTACCCTTTGGTGCGGCTTCTCCTGTGGTCTCGGTTGTTCCTGAAGCTTTCGTCTGCGTCTTGCCCTTTCCTTTGCCTTTCCCTTTATTTCCCTTAGCTGCCTTGCCTTTTCCTTTACCCTTCGCCCCTGCTGCCTTATCCTGGCAGAAACCATGAAAGTAAGTCACAAAGATCACATATGCATTGCATGTGTGCACGATGACCATGATTACTTGGAAGGGCAGGTGACTTAGTAAGTAGGATATAAGGAGAGTTATAAGTGTATACGTACCCTAAATGGAGTTACCCCAATATATAACCTATATATAACCTACTTACTAAGTCCCCTGCCCTTCCAAGTAGAAGCAATCGACGAAATCCCAACCTTGAAGTCAGCTTCGGTGTAGAGGCCTCCTTCACCGTGTAAGCATGTCCCGTCCGGCACTTTGCCGGCGTGGGTCCAGGCATTATGGCCGTGCTGTTGCCACATATCTGTGAGCTTCGAAGAGTCCCAACTGCTTTCAGCCGGGGCCATGGCCCACGATCTAAGTGGCCTCTACAAACCCAGCCTTGATCCCCGAGCTAGCACCCATATACCGTGCACGTGCAGGCCATGCGACAGCGGTGGCATCGGTCGAAAACCTGTGCCTCAGAGTCAATAGTTTTCGATCCAGCAGATACACGGTGATACACGGTCAAAGTGTGGTCTATAGTAACGACTACACGCACATACACGGTGATACACGGTCGCCGGGTTTTCCTTTACGAATTAAAGAATATTTCAACTAGCAGACCAACCGTGTAGCTGATCGTGTTCATACATTGAATCAGAACGAAGCTTAAGCCATACCTGTATGCAGCTGGCTCCAATATGCATAAGATCTTCTCGGTTCAGCATAGATAACCATCGATCTCGCCAGCCTTGGATCATATCGAGGACGGGCATAGCACGATCAAAGACTATCACAGACCATACCGTGTACAACATCATGTGTATGGTGACAAATCCAGAGCGAAACAACCCCATAGCTGCAATCTCCAGGAGGCTTGTAGCTCCCAATCAGTTATAATCAGATCTCCATCAGATCTCCATTGATCGGTCTCCATCGTATACCAGAATCACCACATAGCCTGACAGCGGCAGAGCATGCAACAACTTATAAGATGTAAGGGTTAAAGAGTTTATGGGTGTAGGGGAGGAGCTTATAGGGTAGGGGGGCAGGGTTGGGAGTTTTCCATGTTTGGGTAATGGTTCATTGGGATCTGCGGGGGTTCTACACGAGCAGGCATTGTTCCAAATTGCCCAGGCTCCAAGCTGACAATCGCCGCACTCAATCCCGAGCCTAAGCCTAAGCTTCGAAGCTACCGGCTTCTCCGCCGATTATAAGGCAATAATGCATGTAGTTCTCAACATCACAATCTATAGGAGGCACACTTAAGTCCCGATGCCAAGGTTCCAAGAACACAATCGCCGAACTAAATCCCGACCCTAAGCTTCGAAGCTACCATATATAGTTCACAACATCGCAATCTACAGGAGGCACACTTACAAAGGTCCCGATGATCGCGACGAAATCTATACATGCGAAAGATTCAAAACTAGTCGTAGCAATTTCTTCACAGATTGCGGTGCCGCACATACCAGATAATGCCTCAGCATGCTCGTTTTGGATGCCCCACCAGGCTGAGCTTGATCTCAAATTTCAAGATCAGGTCGTCGCATACATGTGTATAAAGCTTATCGCCCTATGGCTTTTGGGTTGAGTGGGATGCACATTGGTATTTATGTATGGGTCATTGGGTCCTCTCCCGGGTCATTTGTATGGTTCTGCTGCTGGTTCTGAGGAACTATGCCATCGGTGCGGATGGTGGCTGATTCTGCTGCTGGTTCTGAAGAACTATGCCATCTGTGCGGATGGTGGCTGCGGGCTTTGGCATCGGATTCATATAGGGAAACATATAATAATTATGTAAGGTTATAGGGGTTGATACATCGAAGCCCCACTGGGCTTTAAGCCTGAACACGAAAATTGTAATGCAATCCATCATGGTCCTCGGGACTTCTGATCCTGTGGGAAAGAGAAACTTAAGCTAGCAAACCCCAATCCTGAAAACAGGGACACTTGAAGCCCGAGCACCAATATCAAAGCCAGGTCCCATCCAGCCCTGTAACCCTAAACCCAAAACCCACTGGGCTTTAAGCCTGATAATCTCAGAAGCCAGCAACAATCCATTATGGTCCTCGGGTCTGCAGATCCTATGGGAATGAGAAAAGCTACTAAACCCCAATCCTGAAAACATTGAAACTTGAGGCCCCAGCACTGCCCAGCACCAGTATCAAACCCAGGTTTCCAAGTCCTGTAACCCAAAACCCAAAACCCATAGAGGCTTAAGGTTCTCTGAAACCCAGCTACGATATTGGCACTGCACCATGGATGGCGCTTCAGTCTGGGGGCTGCGAAGTAGGACGAAAAACCCTAAACATTTCAAACCCAAAACCTTCAACCCTAAAACCTTAAACCCAAAACGAATCTTAAACCCTAAAGCCTTAAGCCCTAAACCCTAAAGTCTTATATGTAAACCCTAAGCAAGCCGGCCTGTGCCGAGGAACAACGAAATCTGTTGATCGCCAGCCACAACGAGATCTCTCGATCGCCACCGGCTGCAAGCTGCATGGCCTTGTCGAAACCACTAGGAAGAGAAGGGCCGACGGTGCAGGTGTTAACCCAAAACAAACTTTAAACCCTAAAGCCTTAAGGCCTAAACCCTAAAGTAATAAACCCTAAGCAAGCCGGCCTGTGCCGAGGAACAAGCAAGCAAGCCGGCCTGTGCCGAGGAACAATAGCCAAATTACACGAGTAACAACACAAAGCTTCTGCAAACTGGACTGTGCTTGCATACATTTTTCCGTCCCCCTCGCCATTCTGCTAATTAGTCGATCGTGATCGTGTCCATTCTTTGCGGTCTATGATCGCAAAACACGACGGATCCAAAACAGCTCTTTCTTCCTGCTAAACAAAGCAGATTCCGCCCTCAGCCGTTCAATCTCCAGCTCCAAGTAGTACCCCCGGACTTCGATGTAATCGGTAAGGGAGGTTTCCCTTAGAGAACAGAGCCCCCGGCATTCAATATAATTGATCGAGAAGAGCCGCCTCCCTTAAAAACACCGAGCTGAACGATCGAGCCAAGGTTCCCAGTCTGCTCTTCGAAGCATCTGCACCAAATGGTTACCAGCTGCTTGCTCAAGCGAGCCGGAGCTCCACAGGCACGAAGCTTTCGCAGAAGGATTGTGTCGTCCATAATTGGGAGCTTATAATGGGAGCTTGAGCCAAGTAGCTAGGCATAGGGCGGTGGCAGTACTGTTGGCAAGTGCAGCCTACTAGCAATAGCATAGCGGTCAAAGGAGCAGTGCGAGCCTGCGAACCCAGGATCCTTCATAGACCATGGCTGAAACCCTTGCCACAACGAGTGATGCACCCCTGTTTGTGCACCCTGCCCCCTCTAGCCCGTAAGACCCTATAAACCATAAATTTAATGCCCGAAACCTTACAAGCCTAAGCCTTCTCAGGTATGGAGCCGAGATGCCAGAGTTGCTGCAAGGACCCGTGCCGAGCTTCACGAACATCACTTCCCAGAAAGCTTACACATGCCTGCATGTTACTTTTGAAGGCACTGCAAACCCCTTGCGTGCCATTGCCTCTCAAAGCCTGGGCTGCAGAGATTCTCGAAGCCGTTCGCCAGCAGTTTTTAGTACTGTAGATATATGCAGGTAGGCATACTGCATGGAGCCTGTAACATACATCGATCCCGAACAGCCCAGGGCTTTATCAAAAGCGGGGAACTGGAAAGGCTCACAGCCGCCGACGTTTCAACTCGTTCTCGTCGTATCCTAAGATCGCGAGGACGTTCGATCGCTCCATCGACTCCATCCACCTCGTGTCCATGCATCACATTAAGAAGTAGGATTCGGAGAGGCAGTTATTGTTTGTTGCACCTGCACTCGATCTTGAGGCTCCCTAAACTCGAAGGCAATTGCAGGGGAATTCTAGGGCCTAGGAGTATACCTCAATCCATGCAAGTTCCTACAACTTTTGCGAATCCCTCTGTGTCTCTGCGGGCCGGCCTCTGCTGCTTTCCCTTTGCATTGATGACTCCAGGGCCGTGGGATTCGTCGATCCTCAGGTGCTGCAGCAATAACTCTTCTATGGACAGATCCCAGAATCTACAGCGTCTGCGAATCCTGTGAAACACATGCTGTCGAACTCTAAACAATGCAGGAAAGCAACATATTGAAGAACTCCTTCCTTTTGATGTTGTAGGGCGTATCCTTGCTGGTCTTCTTCGCCTTTGCTTCTCCCTTTGCTGCTGCCGCCTTTGACTTTGCTTTTGCTTTGGGTCTTCCTTTCGCTTTACCCTTCGCCTTGGCCGATGCTTTTCGCTGCTCGACTAGGTTTCGTTGAAGCTGAGGATTAATGCAGCATTGCTGGGTGCTGGTGAGTACTGTGGCGATTTGTGGCCATTGTTCGAGAAGTGAACCATCCAAATCGAAGGGTGCCTCATATAAATGCTCAGTGTGATGGAGCACTCTTGGTCAATCATATACATTGCATGCATGTGCAACCACTCCTTTGCCGGTGGGCTGCAGGACCCTCGACGGACCTTTCTTTGGATAGCCTGGCCTGCGTGAGAGAGCCCGGTGACTTATATGATCGTGTTTACTAGCACTGACGATCAAGATCTTGGTATATATAGACTTTCTCTAGAGCATCTTACTCGACTCCAGGGCCAGAGTCTTGGGCCCCAAACCTGAACGTCATATCTAGGACCCTGTATGTCTATCATCTTACGTTAGAAGGGGCCTCCACCCTGTAATAGTGACCATAAGGATTATATAGGATTATATTAGGGCCCTATTATAGTCCTATTATTATACCACTAATTACAGGGTGGGGGCAACTTCTAAATCTTACGGTTAAACCCTTGGCAGTTCTAAATCCTAGCACGGACACCCCGAAATCCCCGACACCCAGCTCAATAGCTAGTCGAAGACCTTGCCGGTAA